TGTGAGCGATGACATGGCAACCAACTCGATGCATGATTAATTTTTTTTATATTTTATGCAATATAATTAAAAAAAATTAAAGAGAATGAGAGAAAGAGAGGTTTTAAAATAAAGAGATAAATTTTCTAAATAAAAAAATATCCAAAAATACTCAAAATACCCTCACTTAAATCCCTCATCACAACCTCCCTCTCATTTTCACGCCAACTCACGCAAGAAGGCCGCCCCATCTGAACTCCCTCTCCCTCTCTTGCGATTCTTCCTCATGCCAATCCGCCGGCCTCCCTCCTCCCTCCCTCAAAGCAAAAGGTAAAATTTCTTCTCCTTCTCCTTCTCCCTTCTTCTTCTTCCTTCCCTCCTCTTCTTCTTCTCCATTTTTTTTTAATCTTCCTCCCTCCATATTTCTCATCAATTTCTCCATCTTTTCCTTCCTATTCTTCTTCCTTTCCTCCTCCATCTTCTTCTTCCACCAAATTCTCTCCAAACATATACAAACTCTAACCCTAAATTTTTTATCTCCAAATCCATCACTCAAATCATCCATGCCCCTTCACAAAAAACACTTTGCTACACTTCCTACACACCCCAACCAAAAAGCCTCGTCATCCTCCATTTTCTCTCTAGCCTTGAGAGAGAAAATTCTCTCTGTAGAAAGAGAGAGAAATTCTATCATAAATATCTTCTTTTTCATCTTAAACACTCCCCTTCGCCACCATTCTTCCATATATCCCTTCCTAGAGAGAAAAAATTCCCCTCTTTCTCTCTCCAAAATTGGAAAGAAATGAATTTTCTCTCTCTAAACCTCACGCCCTATTTCCTTACACCTCTTAAACCCCTCTCCATGTAAATTCCCATCTTTCCCTCTCTTTCTCTCTCTAGAAAGAGAGCTCACTCTATCTCTTTCTCTTTCTAACATTTATAAAAAAGAGCATGTGTATTTAATTATATTGCATAGGTGACAAAAAAAAAATTAAATTATGCATCGCAGGTTTCCCTTCATCGCCGCCATTCGCCGTCGTTACCTCGATCACTGTGCACCCAATGTAAAAGACCGATATTATAATTTCAATTTTCAATGCATGAATAAGTACTTGTGATCGTTTTTATTAGCGAGCGAAGAAACATAAGTACCCGTGACCGCTTTTATTAGTAAGCGGGAAAATTCGTATACATATATTTAAGTACTCGTGACCGCTTTTATTAGTGAGCGGCAAAATTTGTTATGTATGTAAAGAAAATTAAGTACCCGTCGTTACCTTTTTTTTAGGCGGAGAAAATGCTGTGTTTTAAATAGGTACTTGAAGACGTCGTGACCGCTTTTATTAGCGAGTGGAGAACGAAACTACGATCGCGGTGTCATCTGACATATATCGTGACTGTCTTTCTTGGCAGGCGGGAAGGCTTTACACTTTCGATGCAGCCCTCTATGCGGGGATGACGTTGGAGTGCTGCTAAAACTTTCAGCAAAACTCATAACTTATAAAATTTTAAAGAAATTAAAATCCACCAAAAGTTTTAAGTAAAAAAAAAATAAAATACACTATATTCTAGACTGCCGACACTGAAAAGTAAAGATAAAAGGATTCTAAAGTAAAGATAGGGGACTTAGTTGTTCGCCAACAGGTAGGAACCGAATTTCTTCCTCCTAGCTTTGGACTTACACCCACCTATACTTCCCAACAACACTCCTTGTAGAAATGAAATGTGAAGAAAATAAAGTGAGCATTCCGCCTATTTATAACATTAAATTCAAATTATTTGCGGGCTCCACCACTTAGGATTCCTTTACTAAAGGACAAGGAAGGTACACCTGTGGGCCTCGCCAGCCTAGGATCCCCTTGTTAAAAGACAAAGAAGGTACACCTGCAGGCCCCATCGGCTTAGGATCCTAAGATGTCATTTCTGGGTAAAAGTGAAAGGTAAAAAGGGAAAGGTAAAAGTAAATTAGGGTTTAGGATTCCTAGAGCATTTTATTAGGATGTCCTTTAGCCTTGGATTCCTAGAGCATTCTCCAGCAAGTGAAACACAAGCGTAAATACACCTGAATACGGACAATAATTATCTTAAAAGGGAAATGTAAAAGTAAAAAATTATTTAATTTTTTAACAAAATGCATTTACATTAATTGTAAATATGTAAGAAAACCCCTGCATATCCCCGATAAGTTTTTGGTTAAACGCTTTGTAATAAAATGAGAATCGTCCATCACATTGCAATTCACGGGTGCTCTAAGTAGTATGCACGCCAGCTATTAAAGTTAGGCAGCTCGTACATCCCGTGAACATGTCTTTAAAAAAAATAAAATAACGCACTTTTATGTGTCATGGGTTGTACGACCCCTAATTAAAGTATGCACATCATGCCAAATCACTGAAAAAGTATATCACCTAAGAGCAGAAGAATTTGATAGGTGACATGCGACGAACTCAAACTACAAGGCATAACAAAAAATAAACACAAATGTCTGCGGGATTGTAGGAAACCCGTTATGTATGCAAAATGTTATATACGCATAAAATTTTATATGAGTACAATGAATGTGAGCATTTACCGTCTACTGAAGAAGACCCTCCATACACCCAATGTACTAACCACAAGCAAAATGTCAAATAATTACATTGAATGCAAATACTTATGATCTGCCGTAAGGGACCCGTCATGTCCTCAGAGTGCTACACTCGAACAAATAAAGAAGGCCTTTAACAAGTTCGAGCTCCTACAAGCCATAACAGGAGATTCATTAGTGTATTACAATCCACCTGCAGAAAACAAGTTGTGCACGACAGTCTACCTGTAGGAAAAGAACAAATACAAAAGGGCTACGACAAATACAAGTTCCTACGAGCCGCTGTAGAAGACTCGTCAAATATCAAAAATGCCCCCCCCCCCCCCCCGCCCCCCCCCCCCCGCCTTCCCGCATATGCATTGCAATATGTATGCACATAGGTACACAAAAGGGTATATGTGATCACAACACCCGCATGGGCCCCGATGAGTGTGGTGTAGTAATACATGTGACATCTAGGGATTCTACGTGGGTCAATAAATTTGAACCCGATCCTCCTAAGCAGGTAGATAGGAGTTGACAAGGTTCAGTAAATAATTACAAAATGCCCTCAAACACCCGCATGGGTCTCGACAAGCATATTATAAGTATACATGTGACGTCTAGGGATGCTGTGCGGGTCAATAAGTGAATTCAAGTTCAAACCTGATCCTTCTATGCGGATCAATAGGAGTTGATAGGGTTCGAACCATTAAACAACTATACAGTTGTGGTGACCGGTATATTTGTCTTAATACATTCATATTAGGCCTTGAAAACCTATAATAATGAGAATTCACTGATAAAGGCATAAAGCCTAGGAACTTGATCCCATATCGACAAGTTAATAGGGTTGACAAGGTTTAATATAAAAATAGAAGTGACCCCACTATACCTTGATGATGGCCATGTTAAATGCAGATCTCAACCGGAGGAGTTAATTTCAGATATTTCAAAATGTCTTCCAAGCTCCACCAAAAATTTTAAAAATCTCAAAATTCAAAAATATTTAAAATTGAAATAAATCCATCAATGCTTAAAGCAAAAATCCATCCATCCTTCGCAACAGTTTGTCGAGGTGGACAAATTAAAATTTACTTCAGCTCACATAGATTTAATGCTTAGTCGAAAATATCACTAGGATCAATTCTCAAATAATCTCCTATCAATAAAGACGTGGTATGTATATTCTGACTGGCGGTTTTGCCACCAAATGGCACCGCAGGATAAATGGTTGTCATGGAGTCCTCTGAACCGAGTGGGTTTGCGGCCAAATGGCACCACGAAATATCGGTTATGGCCAGAGCCAATACGTTCCTTAGCGGCATCAAATTCTTGAGATATGAATCAATAGGATATGATTGATAGGACACCAAGCCCTCGGTTAGATAAGATAGATTTAAATTTGTCCCCTTAGACAAACATTCACCCGAGGTCTATAAGGTACCTTTGGACGAAGCAATCCATGGCTGCTGACAAGGATACTTCTGTCAGGTTGGGTCAACTACTACCTCCTCTGACTAAGTAGACCATAGACCACAATGACAGAACCATGAGATCTTGATCGGATCCATCATCCATTCCCCCACCATCCGCTTTAAGTGCAAGATGACGAATTTTCTAATTTTAAATATCAAACTTCTCAAATATCTCAACCCAAATTTCCAAACATTCAAACTTTTCAAATACCTATGCCCACGCTACTACTATACACCTGATACTACGTATCTATGGATACAATGTATCTGATTGATAACTAGCCTTAATCGAAAGTTCTCTCTCGTTATTGAGAGGGGTAATTAATTGTAGGGGCTTGCGCCTATCGGAAACCAGAACTCATATCATAAAGTCATCGCAAAATGAGGGCGAAATCTCTGGGTAGTGTCTTATCTACAAACCCATCTTCCTTCCCAAAATTTACCCCGGAACTTAAATCCGTTAAAACTCCCCTGAAAAAGAAAAGCAAAACGGGCGATGGCGGGGGCCGAATTTTCGGAGCCCACAAGAATTTAGCTAGCAGTTCCACTTTTCTGGCTATTAATTTGTGCAGGCAAGTTTTCAGGCCAAGGTAGTGAGGAGTCTGTTGACTACTTATTTTGTTGAAAAGATTAACTAATTCTTTGCCTAACTTCTTTCATCAGAAAATGAACTTAATCCCTAATCGCGGTGGTGATCAATTCGGGATTGACCCATAATTCGATTGTTTTTATGCTCTTATATGATGTTTATTATACTTTGTTCAGAAGGATTTGTGGAAAATATATTTAACACTTGAATAAACACTGAATCGAAATAAATTAAAAAAAGAACAATGTGGATTCATGAGCCTACCGAAGTAACTGAAATAAGGCTAATGATGTTGGTGCTTTTCATTGTCTGTTAACATGTTATTTCATTCGTCAATCTGTTTCTAATGTTTTGACGTTTATAATTATGGAAATTTTTGTTGGTCCAGTTTACTAGTGGTGGGTTGATGGTAGCATTTGCAGGGAGGAAGTATGCAGCAAGGTCCCTTCCCATTTTTGTTGGTAACAGTTCATATGTGGTGACAAGCTTTACTCTGGTTAGTTCAAGTCTTCTAAATTTTCTTCTTGTAACAGAATGCAATAATTCTTTTCTTGATCGACATTGATCTGCTAATTCAGGTCCTGGAATTCCAAAAGGGAACTCTTCAGAACTTATATTGGAAACATGATGATTGTTCTTCATGCTCGGGAAAGTCCAATTTTGTCTGTCTTAACAATAAAGACTGTGCAATCAAAACTTCTAACTGCCAAGGTTCAGGGCAAGCTTCAGGCTCTGTTGATTGCAGCATTGGAATACAGCTTGCCTTCTCAGGCACCGACAAGCACTATGCAGTTCTTAATTCATGGTACGAGGTTTCGAATCTCCGGCAGTATTCTCTTTATGGACTTTACTCAAATCTGAAGGATTCTCTTACAAGTCAGTATGACAAGATCTTTTAGAGCTATGAATGTATTTTTTATGTTGTAATATAACTCCTAATTTTAACTTCTCTCTTCTACAACCTGGAATTTATTTGTGCACACGTTACTCTTTAGATGAGTGTGATTTTGTTTACACATGTTATTCAGCTTTGACAAATTTAGAGGACTTGTTCATTGATTATCTGAACTTAGCTTCCAACCTTGTTTTGCTTTATTAGTTGCTTTTGTAATCGCTGGCTGCAAATTTCAAGTGTGCAGTTCAAATTTCTAAGATGTAAATTATAAAAGAAATAGGGGGAGAACCATGACTAGGAGCTGAAACAAACAATTAAAACATCAGGAAAAGAAAAGAAGCGTCTGAGAGTAGCAATGAACAACATCCAAGAGATATAGGATCTAGTTGGGGTAGCTTTGTAGTTATTTTGTTTTGCAAATAACAATTAGGGTCTTGTTTGGTTATAGTTTTTTATTTTTTCTAAAATCTTTTTATGATGAGGGACAATTTCTTATAATCATATTTATTAGTGTGATAATTATAAAAAAAATGTTGCTAAATTGGATCAAAATAGAATAAATTTATAGTATGAATAATAATTGAAGAGTTTAATAGTTGTACAATAATTATTTGTAATTGCTTGGTGTTAAGGGAGGCTCCAGATGTTGGTTTCAGATTTTAGAAATTTTCTTCCAAGTTATAGCCGGATGTGAGATGAAAAAATCAGAGAAATACATTATTGTTCTTACTTAAAATCCTTTTTATTCATGTAAGCAAATCATATGGCTATTTTAAAAGAGATGTAATGTGTTTGGCTAAAAAAATGGAACAATGGAAAACATTGGAAGAGATAAAGTAGCCGATTGCAAGTAGCTTCCACTGGTTTTTAACTACACTTTAAGCTTCGTTTGGGGCGACTTTCTCACTAGTTCTTAAAGCCGCTTTCTAGTTCAAAATTTTTAATTTTTATATTAGAAAGCTGCTTTAAGAAGAAGTAAGAAAGCCGGTCCAAATAAAGCCTTAGTGTTATTAAATTGGGCTCAGTTTTTTTTCAATCTGCATAATTTCCCTTAGCATTGTTCTCGAGTAAGAAAACAAAAAATGCTATGTTCAAAGTTATGAAGTTAAGAAAGGGCTTACATTTTGTTTGTGACAATTTTTTTATTGTTTTTTAAAATGATTTTTTAGTACAAAAATTCAAAAAAAAAATTGTATGAAAAAGTTGTTTAAAAAAATAGTAAAAATATCGTCCCAAATGAAGCCTTAGTTGCTGTTGTATGCTTTTTTAGGTAAGTAATATAGGAATTGCTGCTAAGTAATTAAGATAAATGATATTGAATTTTTGCTGTTAAGAGTGCTGGATTAATTGTTAAGGATTATAAAGGTCTTTTTTTTTTTTTTGATTTAAAACGTTTTTGAAATAATTCAGGAGACTTTTTTAGCCGTTAGAAAAGCATACAAAGTTGTTGTGTTGTATTAGTAAACCATAGCTAATATAGCCGTTAAAAGCTGCTTAAAAAGAATTTAGGATTTGTTGTTTTGCATGCTACAGTAAATCTGTATAGTGAACATTAATGAGCACATAAGGAAATAAAAGGGAAAAGTTTTTATGCTTAGAATTTTACATTACTTAAGCACAAAATCGCAAACTAATATACTCAAAAAGATGCTTCAGACCCTACTTATTGGCTACGATGGCTTGATGAACATCTGAGGACTTCGCAAACCATTAGACTATACACCATAATATATTTTATCATCAAACCAAATATTAAGATACATATAAATATATACTCTCAACAATATAAAACTTATAATCAAAGTTTGAATGTCTCAATATTGTATCATTATTTTGAAAACATTACAAAATGATTTTTTACCTAATTGATCATATAGACGATTGAAAGACTTAGGTTTTGTTTGGACGGCTTTCTTCCTGCTTCTTAAAACAGCTTTTTAGTATAAAATTTAAATTTTTGCACTAGAAAGCCGCTTTAAGAAGCAGGAAGACCGCCGTCCCAAATGAAGCCTTAGATGTTATTTGGGATGACATTCCTATTGCTTCGTACAACTACTGAAGGGAAAATAATTTTTTAAGGTTGTTGTAGAAAATAGCTTCCTAGTATAAAATTTTTTTGAAAGCAACAAAAAAGCAGTGTCTAAATGGAAATTGTGATTGTTATTTGAAAAATAAAGAAGTAAGAAAGCAATTCCAAACGAAATTTTAATTTCTTTTTTTCTTTTTTCCTCTCTAAATGATCATATAAATGATTCAAATTCTAAATTCAATTTTTGGATTGTCTATATGATCGATTGGACGTATAATTTGACTTGGATTATTCATTGAAGACTAATTGTTAAAAGATCTTGCCAGCTATACTTACCACCCCCTAAAAGAGAATTGCCTAGTATGGTCTAAGCATCATGGGCAAATAATCAGTTAGAATTTCAATCAAATTCAAAACAATCATACATACGATCTTATATAGTACATATGATAATCCAATCAAAAAAAAAAAAATTATGATTGTTGCGTGCGAGAATATACGCGGCGGTAGAGTTTGTAAATTCGCGTCCTAGCGTTGCACGAGTATTTCGCACACAAACAGAAAAGAGAAAATGAACACCAAGAGTTTTTACGTGGAAAACCCAAAAAGGAAAAAAACCACGGGGCCTCGCCCAGTTGCAAAATTCCACTAGTGTTTTTACAGATTACAGATGGTTAACCCGCATCTTTGAGTAATGCTAAAGGAAGAGCCATGATGTTAAATGTTTTGTGCAAAGCTTTCACAAAGCATCATTCTTTCTTCAATGAACAAAGTATTATAAGTATTTTGTTTTAATTTTTAAATTTTATTGTTTGAATTCAATTTGTTAAGTCTAGGGTAACTAAGTGTGTTTGATTTTGTGTTGGTAGTACTTCCCAATCAAGGAGAGTATTGGCGTAATTTTTCTCCACCGACTCAAGTAGCGAAGGAGTTCAGCAAATGTTAGCTAGAAGGCAGTAGAATCCTAATTTGAATGAGAATCTTGCATGGATGTGAACCGATTGGTGCTAGGCTTTGTAAAAATTATTGGAGCATTTTGCTTTACTATTATATTATTATTTTAATTATAATTTTATTTACTACATTTAAAATTTAATGTTTGTAAATTTTTTTTAAAATGCAATATAATGTAGTAAAGGTAGGATGATTGAGAGGACATGAAGGTTGGATTATAGAATATATATGCTTAATTTTTTTAAAATGCAATAATGTAGTAAAGGTAGGATGATTTTTATGAGTTAAAAATAATTTTTTTTCACCATTCAATTAAATACTCACTACGTTATGAATAACTATTAATTTTAATTAACAATTGTAAGTTCAAATAAAAATATTTTTTTGGTGTTTTAACATAAAAAAGAGGAGTAACAAACTCTATAAGATGATATTATAAAGAAGAAACAATAATAGTAAAAACAAAATGAAATAAAATTTTTATAGCGAAAAGTAGACTAATCATTAAAGTAATAAATGATGAAGAAGATTGCTTTCATAACCAATCATTATTGGAATTGCAACATTCCTTTTTGAAAATTAGTCTCCAAGGGTCATGTCACTCACACTCAAGAGACCATTTCCTTCAGTGGAAGAAAATGCAAGAATAGTAAAAAATTCAAGAAATAATATTTCATTAAATAACATTATACTTAGGAATAACAAGGAGATAACAAAATACATAAACATAACTCTAAATTCAAATATAAAACCAAAATTTTATCTAACATCATTAATTATCATACTTACTATTATTACTACACTTATCATCATTATTATGCCTACTATAATTATCGCTTCTGCCATCATTATTATATCTACTGCCAATTCTAATAACATAAAATTCTTTTATGGGACATAACACAAGGAATGACCTATACTATCACCAATCCTAATAACATAAAATCCTTTTATAGATAATAATGTAAGAAATGGCTCGATTCATATATACCCAAAATTATAATATCATAACTCAAAAGCCTAACAATAATACATAGATTCAAATACACAAAAAACAAAAACTACAAGACCTCGTCATACATAGAAATACTCATAGTCTATATAGGTACTAAATTACCTTTAAAATGCATTATGCATCACATGAGTACCCTGCATCATTAATGGTACATAGTTCTAATAAACTATATGAATGCCACAAATGCCTTTATTATGTGTTACAAATAGCAACCTAATGTTGGCATACCCCGACAGAAGTTGTTGTGGTCCTTTACTTCTTTAAGAAGAAGTTGTACCTTCTTGTCACTCAAAGAACTATCCACTTGTCACTCATTAGGGAATTCAGATTGAGAGTGGAGGTTAACTTGGCTAGGTGGAAGTTTGGCCTACTTCAGGTGTAAACCTCGACTTGTTTGATTTCTTAGCTATTGAAGTGGATCAAGGGCAATCAGGCTAGGTAGTCTGGATTTTTTTTTTTTTAAATGGAGAAAGAGGAAGCATGGGCTGGAGGTTTTGAATGTTTGTAGGAAGTAAGGAGGGAGATTAAATGAAGTTGTTGTTTATGGAGTGTACTGAGGCTATTATAGTGGAGAGGTGAAGGCTGAAGTAGGTGGAGGTGTTGCTTGAGGAAGTCAGAGGGATCTGTGGCTTAAGGAAGTTGGTTGCATGTGTTGACCTCATTTTTGTATGAGGTCTCTAATAGGATCCTAAAATCAATTCAAACTCAACTAAATTCATAGCTCAATCTATATAGATCTCAATCAAATCCATGCTTCAAACCCTCCAAACTAATTTAGATCCTAGGATCTATCCTGCCTCCAGACCAGTCTACCCTTTAAACCCACCTAGATCCTAGGATTTATCCTAATCCTAGATCAATCTAAATCTTATATAATCCTAATTCAATTCAATCTATAACTAAAATTCAGTGAGATTTCAAACCAATTCAAGCAAATCAATCAAAAGCTTCAATCACCAATCTTCAATCAATCATCTAGTTCATAATCGAAGTCAAGTATTTTAATCATCCTTCAATCATTGCCCTATTTTTAATCAATCAATTATTCTACTAATTCTATTTCTCAATCACATATCAAATGGTCTATCATCAACTCAAATCATCTACAACCCTATACTACATGAAATAATCCCAATTTACTGCTTAGTGTAGTATATTGATCCTTAGATTCCAGT